TCTGCAAGCAATGAGTGCTCTCATAGTGGGGACCCTCACATGGCTGCCCCCAGTGTGCGGGGGTGGGGTCAGCACACTGCCTGCTTCTCACAGCCCTCCCCTCGCCACAGTCAGCCGTGCAGTTACTCCACGATGACCAGTCTGTCCATTGTCCATCAACTGCAGAGAATATACGGTGTGACCCGTAACGTATCCAATGCCGTAATGCATAAACGTATGTGTGTGTGTGCGTGCGTGTGCGTGTGTGTGCGCGTGCGTGTATGTATATATATATATGTATATGCTTGCATGCGTGTATGCATGTTGTGCCAGACATTGTGCCAGACATTGCGCGAGATTCGTTTTCTTAACTTAGATAAGTGTCAATCAGCTTTAGAAGAGACATTTGACACTTACGATTATACCTTGATCGCAAAACATACACTCCTATGAAAACATGCACCTTTTCGGCTTGCGATCACGAAAACTCGCACAAAAATCGACAGGTTACCTCCCTCGCATCCGTTCTTCTGCAAGCAATGAGTGCTCTCATAGTGGGGACCCTCGCATGGCCGCCCCCAGTGTGCGGGGGAGGGGTCGGCACACTGCCTGCTTCTCACAGCCCTCCCTTCACCACAGTCAGCCGTGCAGTTACTCCATGATGACCAGTCTGTCCATTGTCCATCAACTGCAGAGAATATACGGTGTGATCCGTAACGTATCCAATGCCGTAATGCATAAACGTATGTATGCGTGCGTGCGTGCGTGCGTGCGTGCGTGCGTGCATGCGTATGTATGAATGCATGTATGCAATCCTGCAGTGTGCAGATATAACGTTTACTGGCATGACATGCAGTTATAGTGTGAACTTATGTATCCTGAATATATATTGAGAATGTCTCAATTAACATCTACAGAATTTCAGTTCACAGCTGTTGGAGCATGAGCACACAAGATTATCGTAGCCTGGTGTTGCAGTATATGCTATCATGAGTATATTATCTAGATATCTAGATTATAGATGTCCATATTATACACTTCTGACAAGGCCGTACGCAGGAAATTTTCTGTAGGGGGGCAAATACGCAGGAAATTTTCTGTAGGGGGGCAAAGGTACTCCCCACGCCCTCTATTGCCCTATTTGTCCCATTAAAAGGCATACTCTGAAAATCTCTAGAGGGGGCAACTGCCCCTGCTGCCCACCAGCTGCGTACGGCCCTGACTTCTGATGCTATCATATCATCCTAACCAGACGTACCATGCACGATTAGTGACACGTAACCTATTTAGGCTTACCTGGGCAAGACGTATGGTGCTTCAAACAGATTAAGAAGGACCAGTACTGCTCCTGAAAATACAAATGTACATATATAACTCTACTGCTCTACTGTTTTACTTTTGCTATACACGATAGCAGATTTAATTGGCAACTATATGGTATTAGAAGGATTTGATTTTTCTTCCAGTAGTTATTGGCACAAGGCCCTCACACATTCCCTGAACCAGCAAACTGCAATTCAAAGTAAATTGGTCACACACTCAAACTTACTATATACCCCTGCCCACCGCAACCACACACACATTATGTACGCACATACACAAACGCAGGCATGCACGCACACACAGACAAACACACACACAGAGTCTCTAGCCACAGACCCTGGGTGCATACTGCCCCTGGACAGCACTGCCGGCTGCTGTATCCATGGTTACTGAACTAACAAGAGACTGTAAGAGAGTGGTGAGTCTCTAGCCACAGCCCCTGGCTGCATACTGCCCCTGGACAGCACTGCCGGCTGCTGTATCCGTGGTTACTGAACTAACAAGAGACTGTAAGAAAGTGGTGAGTCTACAGCCACAGCAGGGTATTAGCCAGGAACGAGTATTATGGGAGTGCAGAAAAATTATTTGGGAGTGCAATTTTTTTGTATGTGTGTCTCACCATCAATATTTTAGGACGTGCTACACATTTTTGGCCGTGCAGTTTCAAAACTGACTGTGCAAATCACGGCGGCACGGCTCGCTGGCTAATTAATACATTGAGCCGCAGACCCTGGGTACCTGTGCACTGCTGCGGGCTGCACTCTGCATACTGTCGGTTCGATCCCTGACACGACTGCGTGGTGACACACCGGCTCGCATGGCGTGATCGGATGCCACCGTTGCAAGACGCAGAACAGGCTGACCACTCTGACCAACCAACCCACCGGTTGGCCACTGCATGTGAAAGGCAAATCGGTAGGTTAATTAGACAACAATTAACAAATTCAGACGATAATTAGCTTTATGTGTGAGTGGAAGCGGTATCACGCAACAGCCACATACTGGAACATGTTAGAACTTAATAAAACATTAGTAGAAATCACAACCTTAGACCTCTCTGGACTGATGCAGACATTGTGACATGTCATAGGACACTTTTTGCATTTCCCCTGAGTCGCGGTTATACAGTGAAGCCACCTCTATAGTACAGACACCTGTCTATAAAGGACAGTTGGCATTTCCCTTGATCGGCAGTCATACAGTAAAAACACTTCTAAAAATTGACAACTGTCTAAAAAGAACATATTTAGCTTCTCTCTTGAGTCGAATTTATATATTATAAAATAATATATAATATATTATATATCATAGAAACAACCTTCTCTGCAGAACGGGCAATTCCTACAGACTCCCCTTTACCAGAAACACTCTCGTGGGTTACTCCTGTGTGGCCGTTCTATGCAGGTGTGACTGTGGCCGTTCTATGCAGGTGTGACTGTGGCCGTTCTATGACGAATTCTTTAAAGGACACTTTTCGTGTTTTCCTTGAGCGGCAGTTAAGCCGTGAGTTGGGGAAGTGTAGACGATCACTAGAAAAGTCACGCTAGGCTAGGAGAAGTTCTTAAGAATGAGTCCAACATCGAGACATACACATACATGGACACAGACAGAAATAAAAATAGATATAGATATAGATATAGACATAAACATACATAAACATAGACACAGACACATACATATACACAGATGCGGACACAGACATAGACATACATACATGTGGAAATAGACTGGGGATTGCTCTAAGAAACTTTATAGTCATACTATTAATCTTCTGAGTTATTCTTAACTTTAAACTTTATTGTTATTTATTACATTATTGCTATATTATATTACTATATTATTGTTTATTTTATTGTTAACTTTTTCCATGCGTTATAATGTTATTAATCATTACTGAAGAGCTGTAATTAATGTTCCTAATGCTGGCACAGCTGGGTTACTCACACAGCCTACACACACTCACCAGGACAAGCCCCGAGAAAACATGGCCGCTGTTGCGTGAGATCCTTCAAGCTGCGCTCCCCGACCTTGCAGCTGTCCGCGCCGAAGCAGCGTCGGTGCGCCACCTGGTGGCCGTATGTGCCGCACGTGGCACTGCAGGCTGACCACGATGACCAGTCGGTCATGAATGCCGCTACTGGACAGTTACACGTAGTACAGACATATAATGAAGTCAGTCTCATTACAGACTCTGCTTACGAGGTTTCTGACAATAGGGCTCTATGGGTACATCATACCATAGTATATGTATGATATGTATATATATATTGTGACATTATTGTATCATTTTCCCATATTAGGCCCAATAGGTGGCGCTATACTATTTCCTGTAGCCATGTACTTGCGTGGTCACTCTACTACGTGGCAGGCTGGAGAGTGGCTGGAAATAAATCCTTTGTTGAGTTTACATATTATACGTCAGCTCTTACGACTTTACTTCTAGAAATACAACAGTATTTTGTGGCGACGAGGATGGGATTGGATTGTGTTTCTAGCCACCAGTCAACTCTGAGGTTGGAGGTTTAATAGCCACAACGAGCCAGTAACTTCCACAGAGTCTGAGAGTCCAAGCACTGAGTTTTCGTGACGTACTGGGAAAGATGACAGATACAGCAAAACTGCTCGAGCTACTACAGGGCTTACAACAGATGCAACAACAGCAGTTTCAGCAGCAACTACAGCAGCAGCAGGAAAGGCATGAACAACAGCTAGCGGCACAGCGACAGCA